GGGCAGCGAGGGCTGCAGAAAAGTGGTTGTTCTTATGAAGGGGCCCCTCTAGGGCCCCTAAAGTATATGTGCATATATATATATATATATATATATACACGCACATATATATATATATATATAAACAAAACATCCCGGCAAAGCAACCTAACAGCGATGTGTAGGAGCATATCTGGAAGCATTCCCCTTAAGATTCGGATGAGAATCCAGTTGTAGAATTCTGCGGTTCTCGCAGTCGCAGTCGCATTCGCGATGACAGAAAGCGCAGTGGCAAACAGCAGTCACGAGTCACAGCCACTCCGCCTCAGCCTTGCCTCAGCATCAGCCTCAGACTTTGCCTCAGCCTCACCTGCCTCAGCCTCAGCTCATCCTTCATCATCCTCAGCATCAGTCTGCCTTCAGCCTCGGCCTCACCTCACAGCCTGCCTCAGCCTCAGCCTGCATCAGCCTCAGCCTCAGCTCAGCCTGCCTCACATCACCTGCCTCAGCCTCAGCTCCACCTGCTCTGCTCAAGCCAGCCTGCTTCCAGCCCTGCCTCATTCTGTCCGTCGCCTCGCCTCAGCCTCAGCCTGCCTCCAGCCCAGCCTCATCAGCCTCAGCCTCAGCACTCAGCCTGCCACTGCAGCAGCCTGCCTCAGCCTCAGTCCTCAGATCAGCCTGCTATTTGTCACGAGCAGCCTGCCTCAGCCTCAGCCTGCATCAGCCTCAGGCTCAGCCTCAGCCTGCCTCAGCATCAGCCTGCCTCAGCCTCAGCCTCAGCCTGCCTCAGCCTCAGCCTCAGCCTGCTTCAGCCTCAGCCTCAGTCTGCCTTCAGCCTCGGCCTCAGCCTCAGCCTGCCTCAGCCTCAGCCTGCATGAGCCTCCGCCTCAGCCTCAGCCTGCCTCAGCATCAGCCTGCCTCAGCCTCAGCCTCAGCCTGCCTCAGCCTCAGCCTCAGCCTGCTTCAGCCTCAGCCTCAGTCTGCCTTCAGCCTCGGCCTCAGCCTCAGGCTGCCTCAGCCTCATCCTGCATCAGCCTCAGCCTCAGCCTCAGCCTGCCTCAGCATCAGCCTGCCTCAGCCTCAGCCTCAGCCTGCCTCAGCCTCATCCTCAGCCTGCTTCAGCCTCAGCCTCAGTCTGCCTTCAGCCTCGGCCTCAGCCTCAGCCTGCCTCATCCTCAGCCTGCCACAGCCTCAGCATCAGCCTGCCTCAGCATCAGCCAGCCTCAGCCTCAGCCTCAGCCTCCTCTGCCTCATCCTCAGCCTGCTTCAGCCTCAGCCTCAATCTGCCTCAGCCTCGGCCTCAGCCCTCAGCCTGCCTCAGCCTCAGCCTGCATCAGCCTCAGCCTCAGCCACAGCCTGCCCTCAGCATCAGCCTGCCTCAGCCTCACCTCAGCAGCCTCTGCCTCAGCCTCATCCTGCATTCAGGCCTCAGCCTCAGTCTGCCCCGTTCGGCCTCGGCTCCGCCACAGCCAGCCTCACCTCAGCCTGCATCAGCCTCAGCCTCACTCACCTGCCTCAAGCATACAGTCCTGCCTCAGCCTCAGCCCATCACCCTGCCGTCACCTCACCTCACCTCAGCCTCAGCCTCGCCCAGCCCTCAGCCTGCGTCGCCAAAGCCTGCAGTCCATGTGATCTGTGACTTTCAGCCTCGGCCCCAGCCTCAGCCTGCCTCAGCCTCAGCCTGCATCAGCCTCAGCCTCAGCCTCAGCCTGCCTCAGCATCAGCCTGCTTCAGCCTCAGCCTCAGCCTGCCTCAGCCTCAGCCTCAGTCCGCTTCAGCCTCAGCCTCAGTCTGCCTTCAGCCTCGGCCTCAGCCTCAGCCTGCCTCAGCCTCAGCCTGCCTCGGCTGCAGCATCAGCCTGCCTCAGCATTCAAAATGTGGCCCAGGAATGGAGTTCTGGGAACTTGAAGAACACGAAGTGGCCTACAGTTGGCTCCGGGCATTCAAAATCATGCCCAGGAATGGAGTTCTGGGAACTCGAAGACCACGAAGTGGCCTACAGTTGGCTCCGGGCATTCAAAATGTGGCCCGGGAATGGAGATCTGGGAAGTCGACGAAGACGAAGTGGCCTACAGTTGGCTCCGGGCATCCAAAATGTAGCCTGGGAATGGAGTTCTGGGAAGTCGAAGACCACAAAGTGGCCTACAGTTGGCTCCGGGCACCCAAAATGTGGCCCAGGAATGGAGTTCTGGGAAGTCGAAGAGCACGAAGTGGCCTACAGTTGGCTCCGGGCATTAAAAATGTGGCCCGGGAATGGAGTTCTGGGAACTCGAAGACCACGAAGTGGCCTACAGTTGGCTCCGGGCATCCAAAATGTACGCCGGGAATGGAGTTCTGGGAACTCGAAGACCACGAAGTGGCTTACAGTTGGCTCCGTGCATCCAAAATGTACGCCGGGAATGGAGTTCTAGCAGCGCCAAGAGCGATTTTGCGAGGATGTCCCAGGCGATTTGGGCTTCGACGGCAGCCGCTCCGGGTCCCGCCCTGACCCCCCTGAGGAGTCATGATGCTTTCGTTTGACCCTACTAGAAACCTATCAGTCTTCGCTGTTAGGTGAAAAAACTTTTGGCGCTCCGCGCGGATTTCTTGGATCCACGCCGGGCCCCCCTCCCCCGGCTGCGCCTCTGGCGCCGCCCCTGGCGCGCTCCGCGCGCCAGGGAGGGGGGTCCGGCGCAGATCCAAGAGATCCGCGCGGAGCGCCAAACGTTTACGTTTTTTTTTTTTTTTTTTTTTTTTTTTTTTTTTTTTTTTTTTTTTTTTTTTTTTTTTTTTTTTTTTTTTTTTTTTTTTTTTTTTTTTTTTTTTTTTTTTTTTTTTTTTTTTTTTTTAAAAAAAAAAATTCGATCTAGAGCCCCATAGAAGGGCTTCCAGGGCACGAGAAATGAACCTTTCTTCCCCCTCGCATCTGTCGCCCCCCCACTAAGCGACGCCCAGGTCCAGCACGTGAGCACAATCACGGACGACGGTTGATTTGCGCACTCTGGTCCCATGAGCACGGTGCCTAATTACATCAGCGCGGTTTTAATTTTATGTTTTTTACACACAGCGTACATGCACACATCCGTGTATACATGTGTATTGTGAATATGTCTATGCATATGCGTACATTGCGTTCGTCTCCAGGCTGTGTCCAGCAGGAGCCGCAGGAGGATCAGCAGGAGGAGGAAGGGTTTGAGAAGGAGGAATGCCTTG